AAATCCTATTATGGTAATTGAAAGGTGGGGCCTTGAAGAGATGATTATATTGTAGGACCCTGCAGTAGTGAATGGATTAAAAATGGTGGTCAGGGGTGTGGTTGTGAGGGCTTTAAAAGGAGAGTACTTGAGAGTCCCTCTGCTCCACCAGTTTCGGCCATGTGAGACCCCTGCATTGCTGCAAAGCCACCACCAAGAAGATTACCACCGGATGTGTTCCCTGGACTTCAGATTTTCCAGCCTCTGAAACTGTAAGCAATAAATTTCATTTTCTTACAAATTACCCAGTTCCAGATATTTTGTTATAAGCAACAGAAACAGACTAACACAGCTTCCCAAAGGCCTCTGATACCTTCCTCCCACTGCCATGCGTCACCTGGGTGAATCCTATTCATTCTTTAGTGCTCACCAGCTTTCTGAAACCCACCAGAGCTGAACTGTCTTCTTCCTGCCAGCACTGGGGCTCGTGTATCTTCTTTACGATCCCAGAGCACCCTCCGCTTGCCCCTTTGGGGGTCTCTCACGGTACGGTCATTGTCAATTTACTTGCCTGTATCCCACACAAGATTCCCATTGGGAAAATTGCTCTTCGAGGTTTGCCGTCACCTGGCTGCACGCATACACACAGCACATCCATATGTGTCCATATACGATCAACGTTGAGTGAACACAGGAGGTCATGAGGATACAATCTGGCTGTCGAACACTAACAGACATCTCCCAGCCCTACTCATGGCCACTGCAGGTCTACTCATGACACACAGTCCTAGCTCTGGGGGGGTTGTTGGCTCCTTCCTTAAGCCCTTTCCAGAAATCCTACCCTTGGCTTGGCAAGGGGGCTTCCTCTGCTCGACCAGACTTCAGGATCTCGGCTACCCACTTGGCCTCATAGAATCAACACTTCGCTTTTCTCTGGTCTGGGAAGCCCCCCCACCCATGCTATGCCCTTCCTCCTAGGCTGACTGTCTGGTGGGCTGGCTCCTCCCCTATTCTGCCCTTTTCTATGTCCCCTGCTCAGACTTCTATGGGGAAGCCAGCAGAGAGCAGCAGCAATAACTGCTTGGGGTAAGGTACAAAGCGTGTACAGTTTTTACAGATGCAGTCCCCGATCTCCATGTCTCTGCTCCATTCTGAGAAAACAGGAAGTACGCTTGTGAGAGGCAGAGCTCATCCACGTTGCTCTTTTTGAGTGAAGGCAGTGCAGACACTTCCCCCACCATGGCCCCTATTCCCAGCAGAGAGAGGAGACTGGGGAGAAGAGCTGGTGCTCGCTGGTTTCCAGGAGCCGACTTCAGATAGTGTGGTCAGTATCTCTTTAGGTCTCTGTTGTGTTCCTCTGCAAAGTTCCTCAAAGGTCCCCACTAGTTAAAAAATCAGACCAGCTTAACACTTTTATAAGAGACTTGATTTGATGTCAACAGGACTTGCACTGGGAACCTCCTGCCAATCCCTTGGCTAGTCATTTATTCCAGCTTCCCCCGGGAAGCTTTTATTCATCTCGCCTTCATAGAGGTGCTTAGTGGTCATTATCATGCATTGTAATTAGGCATATATGGGTTCAAACTCTGACTCCACCACTTTCAAATGATCTGACTTTAGCTTGCTCCATGGACTTCAGCTTCCTCATCTGTAAAATGGGGACAGTGATAGCACTTACCATGGAGATTGTCAAGATCATTACAGGAGAGAATGCATGCAAAGCATGTAGCTCACTGTCTAGCTCACAGAACTCAACTGATTAGCTGATGTCATCATTAGTACTTATTTTTGTAATTAATAGACTAAGCTTCTCAGAGTTAGGGACAATGTGTTCTTTTTCTTTGTTTTACAATCACTAAGCACAGCATTTATTCTATAGGCATTTACTGAGTGGCTATAATATGCTGGGAACAGGGCCTATTGGGAATCAAAGAGACACTTCCTGTTGTTAAGGAACTCACAGTGGGGTAGGGGCACAGAAAGGAACAGGACATTCATTATTGTGTGATGTGAGCTTGGATGGGGGTTCTGAGGAAGCCCTCATGCTTGGACCTCTGCAGTCCCCC